GACATTTGCACACAAAATTAAGAAAGACCCAGTGGAAAGTTTTATTTTGTTTTTTAAATTTAGAAAATACCCAGATAAAGGCGTGTTTCTGTTTTGGCGGAAATGTTGCTACATCATAGCTGAAGTTGGGTGTGAGATTACCCAAGTATGTCACTAGTAGGCATGTTGTGAAGTTATCCACAAACACTCCCCAAACATGGTCAGACCAAAACTTTTGATATTCACCAAGCTGATTGGTGTGTTTGTCTTTGCTGTAACTGGTGATGTCCATTCTGAACATTTTTTAAAGTCTTTTTTTTGGGGGGGGTCTAAAATTTTATGAACTTCAACGTGGGGCATGATAAAGAGCAGATGTGTACATCTTTAGAGGTGTAACTTTGTCAACCCTCTGATGAAGCAGCACCCGTCAAATTACCCTGCTCTGTTTTATAGCAAACATATTTCCATGTGAGACAAATTTAGTTTACAATTTCCTCTACTATTTATAACTTGTAACATGCGGTAATGTTCAAATATTTGTTGAGATAACATTTGCAGTAGCTGGTCCTACTCATTGCATAACATACAGTGATGAGGAAGGGAGTTTCCGTAACACAAGTAGCAGGTAATACCTCATCAGAAGTACCTGTGAAAAAAGTTATAAGAACCCCAGTAAGAAGTCTCTTGTAGTACTTGTGGCAAATAAACATTGTCTGCCAAATACACCTGTTTCTCTCTAAGAACACTGTATGTGTGTTAACATCTCCATTAGCAGACAGCTTTGAAGATGACCCATCATGGCGGTAAGTGGTGGCCTCTCATCAGCTGCAGCACTAATGTTTCTGTGTTTCGAGCTCAGAAAAGGCTGTTTACCGAGGGAGAAGTATGCATGCTTTGGCACGGCTGCCAACGGAAAAGATCTCAAAATGTGAGGAGCTGTTGTTTACTGTGGTATGAACATTGGAAGAACACCAGAAAACAATACAAAGAACACAAGAGCCGTGCGCAGTCAGATATGTGTAAAATGTGCACATGCAGATTAGTGCAAGCTAGGGCAGATTGAGGCCGTTCTCTGGTTGATAGTCAGAATTCTTCTGGGTCTTCTGGACGACAGTCAGAATTTGCATTGAAGGGCATCTAATTTTTCTGATGAAAGATGGTCAGAAATGGAGGATGAATCAACAAAGCTTGATAATTTAAAAGACTGTCAGAAAATATCTCTGGATCCGCCCCTGTGTTAGTCACTATGTTGTGTGGTATAACTTCCTCTGATTTGAGGTGTGGCATTTCTCTAGGTATCCTTAGTGTTATGCCACAGAGCAGGGACTGTCCTTTTATGCTGTGTTTATTCCTTTTATGTGAAAAACTGTTACACTTTAGTACACTGCTTTTTAACAGGGAAATTCAGAGGTTTTCCTTCATAGCTGGCACTCTGTCTACATATCTGATTTAAAATGTGACGGTGTGTTAGGTGTGACATTGTGTAGGGTGTGCAATTGTGTCAGTTGTGGCAGTGTATTCAATTTGTGCAGTAAAGACCTCCCCCCCNGTGTAGGGTGTATAATTGTGTTAGTTGTGACAGTGTATTAAATTTGTTCAATAAAGACCCCCCCAGTTAACTGATGGATAAAACTGCATTTTGGCAGGCACAATATGTCTCCTAGTAACATGACATTTTGCACCTGCCAAGCAGCAGCCATTGTAGTGTTTATCACCATTCTGTGGTTTTCTTTTTGTGATCACTAATTAGATTAGTTACAGATCAGTAACCTCTTTTGAAGATTATTTTTAGAGTTAAAAAGCCAAAGTAAAAAAAAAAACTTTTAGTGAAACTTGGTCTTAAGAAAATAAAACAGCACTTAATTTCAGAGACTGTTCTTGTGGGGTACACAGTTGCTGCTGGCGATATGACACATTGCTTTACTGTCTGTTTGTACTTTTATATTTTCTTAACATAGAGGAATCATCTTAGAGAACATACAAAATCCCAGTAATTAAAAAACATGGCCATCACAAAGTATAGTAAAAAAAATAGTCAGAAGTTTGTACAAGCAAAAAACTTGGTTTTGACACTTCATGTTTGTATAAGGAAATAGACAACACAAATTTTCTGTAAACTCTTACAGCTAAAGGGCTCTTTAATGAATTAATTTAAATTACATTATGAAGTCTGAAGGGCATATTTTCCACCAGCTTCCCCCCTTTCCAGCCTCTCCTCTCCCTTTCCAGCCTCTCTCCCCACTTTCCAGCCTCTCTGACTGACGTTTCACTCAAGTGTGTCTGACTGTTACATGTACATCTGTCTGGGTGGTCATGTTTAGTTATCAAAACTAGGGAGGAAAATCCAGGAAAATATCCCCAGGAATCTCAGAAAATGAATAAATCATGTCCATCCTCCTGTGCATGTTAAGTTGATAGTGTTTAAGGAGTGATTGCTAGCTGCAGTGTGGTTGGGAGGACAGTGAAGGCAGACATTAGGGAGGGTGTCTCGGCAGTGATGAATGCAAAGTTCTAGTGTACATATATTGTCTATTTACAATGTGAATAAAGTGAATTCATAGAGAAGAAATATGTGGAATATGTTCAGGTGTCTGAATTAAGTCAGCATAAAGTTCCTTTGGCAAATTGGCAGCTCCAACATATAATGTACTGTATACTGAGTGGGAGGTGCTCTAGCGAAACTGAGTGCTAGTAATATAACTACTTACTTCCCAAGTGATCATGCTTATTGTAATTTAGGAGATTTAAAAGATTTATAAAATTGGATTTTTTTTTTTTTTTTTTTTTTTTTTTGTGATTTTCATTTCTTTTTTAAACCACTGAGAGACCATCTCCAGACTTACAATTAATTTTGTCATTATTCATTAACCATGTACTGGATACTTAATGATCTAATTTGTTCTATAAAGCTGATTGGTTTGCCACAATCTCTCTGTGCTCTAACTTAAACCACTAATATACCATTGTTGCCAAAATTGATTTCCCAAAAAATTCATTCACTTTTTTCCACACGGTCATGAGTAAGATAAGTGCAGTTTTAAACATGTTTTACCCTCTTTAAATAGAGTTTATAATAATAATTATAATAATAATAATAATTATTATTATTATTATTATTATTATATTCTGTGGAGTTATTTACAATGAATGTATTACAGCACAGAAAATTACCAGTTACAGTTAAATGTCTGCATTTCATCTTGGCTGAGTCCCATGTCCAATATGTCCCTGTCCTATGAAGACAAAGACAGGGAGAGAGTGCACTGGTTTTCTGGCTTGTTCTTCCACTTGGCAACTATGACATTTGTTGAAATATAGACTTCAACAACAATTGTATAATTATTTCTGAAGTGAAATAACAAACAATTCTAAGAGGGCTGCCTTGTCTTTACGTCAGTCTGCCTGCTGTGTGCATGTGATGTAGTAAAGTGGTTTTATTATTATGAAATTCTTTTTATTTTAAGGAGCTGTTATTTATTGAAGTGTTTGTGTCTTTTTTCTCTGAGCAGGACAATAGAGTGAGATAATTTTTAAATTAGTGTAACTGATAGACATGTTTAGTATGTATTTGGATGTATTATTTTTCGAGACATCTCTGTGCATTTTCTTCAGCTCAGTCTGGTGTAAAAGTGTTAAAAATTATTGTTATTATCTATATTATATAACTGCAGGAAAAGGGTGTATGAAGTAATTCTGATGTTACTCAGATATCACTAGGTCTCAAGAAGACAATGTCTTACACATTCCTGACCCCATCTTCAAGTGTGGCTACATGAAGTCTTCTCTTCTCTCTCTGGGACTCCAAGTATGCCTTTCCTCACTTTCCCTTTGATCTTAATTGTATTTCTTTCTTGTGTTATTTTTACCTCATCTCAGCCTCCTACCATTTCAGCTGATCACTTACGCCCAGCCCGTTAGCTTTACAAGGAACTTATGGCTCTTTTCTCCTTCAGTTTAACTTATTTTTCTTCACAACTTTTGGGTTTAATCAAATAGTTTAGAATATTTTCAGAACCTTGCCATTTGGAAAATGTAATTTGATTTACATTTGTATCATGGTGAACAATTATATTTTTTGCAGCATGCAAGCAATTACAGTATAAGTTGCAATCGCCCTGTGCATCTTTCTGAAATTTGTAACCAGTTAGAGGGAAGACATGTTTGGCGTCAGAAGGTCAGTCATCAGATGTCTAAGGTTGCTGCTATCCCCCAAGGCCTTCAGGATTTTTTCCTTAGAAAATGGCATATCCAATTAACCTGTGGCTCGATGTAAAATTACCCAATTCTCTCCAATCTGTGGAGCGCTGATAAAAGGTATCCGGTCATGCCATATCGCCATGGTAACAGGTGGATGGGGGTGTGTTGCTGGTTCAGTACAAGATGTTTGTCGGAGGACATCTGGTCTTTTTCGTTAAGAAAAGTGGGAAGTTTTGCTTCCCAGTCTGGGTGCAAGTTGTGGTAACACTGAACAGGCTTGTTGTTCACTCATTATAAGGTGCACTTTTGCGCTATTCTTTTTTCCTCCCATTTTTTTTCATTCATTTTTTAACCAGTTCATTTGTTGTGAAGTGTTTTCTAAGTGCAGATGTTGAGAGCATTGGAGGGGTTCACCCTGAATACCACTGGTAACTTTTCTTAAACCAACAGGTGCTTCCTTTAAGTTTGTTAGTAGTAGAGGTCTGTGTGTCCAGAACAAACAGTAACTTAGGGTGTAACTCAGGGTGGTCATTGCACTCCCAGGGGGGGACAGAAGCCATCTTCTGGATCTTATGGAAGAAGGTCAGAATTTTTCAAGTTTACATTGACAAGCTTATAATTTATTCTGTCAGATGATGGTCAAAAATAGAGGATGGATCAACAAAGATAATTCAGAAGGCTGTCAGAAAATATCTCTTGATCTGCCCCTGCACTCCTGTGATTTAGCTTGCTGATTTACTTTTTTCCTTTCATTCATTTCACTATATGTACCTTCTTAAATTTAGATAATACATATTTACATACTGATCTCTTTCTTTCTTCAGGCCATCAGTCGGTACTTGAAGTGGTATCGTACAGACTCCATGTTGTGGAAGTGTAGGAACGCCATTAAGAGGTACATGGACTGGGGCAAGGAACCCATGTCTTCACTGGGTAAGTAGTAGAATAGATACAGGCCTGGTCACATTACAGGGGTGGACTGAAGTTGTCTTCTGGAAGGGGGGCAGAATTTTTAAGTTTACATTGATGAGCATCTAATTTTTCCTGTCAGAAGAGGGTCAAAATGGATGATGGCTCAACAAAGATAATTTGGAAGACTGTCAGGTAATATCTCTGGATCCAACCCTGAGTTGGGGGGGGGGGGTTGGTTATTGTTATTACAGTTCACAGGAAATAATATCATTAATTCGCAAATTATAGTTTATAATGACTATTTCACAAAACATGAAGAAAAATAAGCCAAATTCAAGAGTCATGGGAATGAGGTGCTTCATGGATCACACTAAATAATATGAATGTTTCATGGATTTTGGGAAGTGAAAAGTGGCTTTCACAGGTAACAAAAATACCCAAGGGGACCCTCTAGACAGACTAATTGAACAGTAGCAATATTTTATCAGGATTATGTTGATATTGAAAACAACTAAACTTCTCCCTGGTACATTAGCTCTGTACATCAGTCTGTACAAGGACAGGGCTCTCATGGCTCTCTGTTATAGTCTGCTTACAAATCCAGCAGCTTGACCCAGCCATGGAATGCAGTAGTTGGTCAGTGAAATGTGTCTGGATGTGCTCACAGTGTGCTAGATGGCATATAGAAACTAGACCACCTATGAGATTGTTTACCAGTGGCAAGTCATTGTAGTCTTTGCCATTTAACCACATACTAGCTTATTACACGTCAGCCAGGTTATATCCAGTACATATGACATGTATATAGACAATTTGTATTTACACATAGATTCAGGATTGATCAGGAAATCCAGATGTTTGAATTGGGTGCTGTTTTACCCCCCCCCCCCCCCAAAAAAAAAAAAATAAATAAATAAATAATAATAAATAAGATAAAATAAAATAATAAAATAAAATAAAATAAATAGATAAATAAATAAAACTGTAGTGCTGCGGGCCTTAGGTGTTTGCATTTCCAGATTTTTTTAAAAGGTTCATTTTCATGGCTTATGTAGAACTTACCAGTTTGTGTAACAGAGAGGGTTTCAGTATCTCAAACAAAAAAGAAAGCAGTATTATACTTAGTTTCCTAGAACTTTGCAGGCTGTGTTAATTAACAAGTCTGGTATGGTTTTCCCTGTTGGTTATATGTCTACTACATGCCATTGAGACAAAGCAGTTAGTGCACTGAGAGCTGAGTAGAATACGGCATGGTGTAGGAATGTCTGGCATGGAAAGAACACAGTAACTCTACACAGAGTTCAGTAATAAGATGAGAAAGTTCAGGATAAATGAGATAACTCAAAAAAAAAAAAAAAAAAACAACAACAACTGTTTCCTAGGATTCCTGGAACATTTGTATAAGGTCATCAGATAAGCCAAGGCAATAAGACTGATGACTATCTGAAGTGGTCTCCTACCTGTTACTGGCTCCAGGCTGATCTTAACTGATGATCTGGCTTGTCTTGTGTCTGGGATGATGTGTGGGAGGGAGATGGCATCTGTGGATTGGAGACCAATTTGTGTGTGTGTGTGTGTGTGTGTGTGTGCGCGCGCTCATGCATCTGTGTATGAGAAAGTGAAATAGAGAGATAGACAGAGAGGGTATGTGCTTGTGTGTGTGTGAGAGAGAGAGAAAAAGAGAAGAGAGTGTGCAGGTGTGTTTGAGAGAGAGAGAGAGAGAGAGAGATTGTTTATATTTGAGAGAGAATATGATAGAGTCTCTGTGTGTGTGTGTGTGTGTGTGTGTGTGTGTGTGTGTGTGTGTGTTTTGTGTATGTGTGTGAGAGAGAGAGAGAGGGAGAGGGAGGGATAGAGAGAGAGAGAGGGAGAGAGAGGGAGAGAGCTTGTGTGTTTGTGAGACTAGCACATTACTGATATCCGGAGGTACAGCTGCCCTCACCATTCATTTCTAACACCCCATTTCCAGAGATTAGATTGACCTACTTTAGATCGACCTAACTCCCTGGGGGTTCACGCTAAATAGCTGTCACCCGGGCGGACACGAAAGTTAATTACTCCCTTACAGCTTGTAGTAGGCGGGACGGACATTTAAGTCGGATTATCTGAAAGTTATCTAGTGAGACTCCCCGCGGGGATAGATCGATCTAAAATCTATGGGAATAGAGCCTAAGAGACTTGTTATTTCCCTCCACCAGGATATATCTCAGTTGCCCAAGCCCCATGTCACTGGTACAGGGCCAAGAGTTGCTGTTCCTCAGTTACTAAAGATATCCCCTCTTAACATTCCTCAGAATTCAGATGAGCCGTCTTCACCTGGTCTTGGTTTATCTTCATTCTCATCTCTGACTCTGCTCCAAAAATGGATTTTACTTGGATTGAAAGTGAACTGAACAATGTGATTAACTTCTCCAGTATGCAGGGTTTTTATGGAGAACCTCACCTCAGCTTTTACATCCTCATCTTCCAGCCGCTGAGGTTGGCTGAGATAGGTTTGTTTATTTGGCATGCTATGTATTCAGCAGGGCTGGGGTTTCACTGATACCTCACATTTACATGTCAGGTTTTGATATGTTTTTGTTTACACCGAGTTCTTGTTACATTATCACAGTGACTGTCATCTAACAAAGTGTTATCATTATTTTCAGAGCTGTACTGTGAAGTCCTGGGGACAGTGAAGTCCTTGGATTGGTACCACAACGGGAACAAGCTCAACCTAGGTCAGGTTTCTTAGTTTATTCCTACAGTTTTCAGTTAAATTTTATCAAGTAGAAAGTGTTCCATTTGGAAATCAAGCTACAAATCTTATGTGTTTTCATGGAGATGGAGTCTCTGGTGTATGAGTGTGATAGACATTGTGGTTGAATCTCATCCCAACACAATTTGTTTGGCACATCTAACGCAATGCAACTTCAACATTTATATTCAGTATTCAATATGTCAGATGTGGACAGTGTTGATTAATACATTTGTAATCCTTCATTTATCAGGTGGAAGGTACGTGTTGATTGCTTTTCCTCATTATCGCAAGGGGCGTTACTTCTCCAAATGGCTGGACTTTCGTCTGCGGATGTATTTCCCCACAACCGAGGACTCTGGCATCTACACAGTGAGACTACAAGGCCCATCTGGGAAGACACATGAACAGAATATATTTGTGGACATTTCAAAGTTCAAGACAGCCAATCAAGTGACAAGTAAAGCCAAAACCTGGTGGAAACCCAAAGTGTCCGCAAAGACATCAACTAATAAAAACTCGGTCACAAAGATTTAGAAATTGTACAGTTAATAGTTACAGTATGAAGATACAGCAGTGGAATGGTCATAATTATGAAACAGTTATGGTGCTGGACATTTTTAGCCCATAATCATGATCAGTTGCTTCTTGATTCGTATCAGCCAAAAAGAACCACAATCTAGCATCGAATCATGGCTAATATATATGCTGTTGAATTTCCAACGTTAACAGCATTTTCTAACATGGCCATCTGTACAAATATACGAATTAGTAAAAGTTTGGTACATAGCCTTATCACTGAGCAACTTTGATTGGTCAGTTTCTGTACCTGGAGCATTTCTGTCTTGTGATTGAACGACAGAGTTGACCATTTTTGAAGAGAAGTGCAAATTTTATATTTTGTTGCATTTTTAAGTTCTGGATTTTCAGTATTTATTTTTTGTTTACGTTTTTCAACTTCATGCTTTCTTTTCTTTTGCAAAATTTTAATTGGCAAATGAAAGAAAACGCAAACTAAAGAAGTTGTTGTTATCAGTAATTGTAAATGAAGCACTTTCTGCTGATCTGACAAGTCCAGGTGTCTTCAGTGCAGGAAATGCTGTTTGTAGTACACAACCTGTGTGACAGAAATATATTGTAAATTGTACACAAAATACTGTAAATAGTTTAATCTAAATTAATATTGATGTGAAGCATATATTCACTTTATATATTGTAAAAATAATAAGAAAAATAATATCACTGATGGAAATTTGTGGATGTTATATTGGGAGTGTGGTTTGATTTGATTTATCTGTAGATAGTTCAACAAGGATGTCACACAAGAATATTTTGATAGTTGTGTACTGCAACTTTTAAAACAACTTCTGTTGATTGATACAAAAGTTGGATGTAAATTTGGAGTGTGGCAGGTTTTGGCACCCAGGGTCTACATCAGACTTGTACACAGAGTGATGGGTGTTTTTTAACATGAAGTGTAACATTACATTTGGAATACAGGCATTGTATCAGTTATTTTAAAATGTGTATATACAATAAGTAATAGCTGACCATGACAACAACTCTTTGTTGATCACCATCTTTTGTTGTACAGTAGAAGCTCAGATTCCAGATATCACATCAGTCTTTTTAATCTGGGTCTCAGATTAAGTAACTCTTTAACTTACCAAAGATAATTTACAACTTGGCATTGATTTATTTCAAAATGTTACATTAATGTAATGTTCTTTTTAATTTTTACAAGCACGTATCTTGTTTGCGTTACATAATACAAAAGCCTTGGATATATGTACATAGTTAATCATGACCGTTAACCCTTTGTCACTGTTCAACATCCCACATATTTACACTTCCTCTCAATGGCTGGCAGTTTTAAACAACACGGATTGAAAGGGTTAATTTGTTCTTTCACTTATTACAATAGTCTGACCTTAATATCATTTATTACAATATATTATAATTTATGTTCAAGACTTAACTTACAAAATAGCCTAACTGTTAATTATTCCCCTATACAATTGCACTTTCCTATGATATGGCATTATGACAATTCAAGGAACTGTCATAGTTCCTGTTACTGGTGGTTAATGTTAATACTTCCCCCACTGCTGTTCCCAGCTGTGTTATGTTGTCACAGAATAAATCAGTATTACCTAAACTTGACATAGTTTTCATCTTGTTCATAAACAAGCATATTTACTTTTGCCTTGTCCTATGTGAAACATCAGAGTTCACAGCTAACACAGTGCATCGATGTCCCAGTTGACAGCTAACGCAATGTGCTGTCTCCCAGTTCACAGCTAATGCAATAAGCTGTCTCCCAGTTCACAGCTAACACAATGTGCTGTCTCCCAGTTGACAGCTAACGCAATGTGCTGTCTCCCAGTTCACAGCTAATGCAATAAGCTGTCTCCCAGTTCACAGCTAACGCAATGTGCTGTCTCCCAGTTCACAGCTAATGCAATAAGCTGTCTCCCAGTTCACAGCTAACGCAATGTCCCCTTGTTCACAGCAAACACAATAGACAATGCACTCCCACTTCACAGGAACACAATGTGCTGTTCACAGCCAATTCAATGCAATTCACAGTGACACAATGCGTCTTCCCAAGTCACAGCTAATGCAATGTAGTTCACAGCTAACACAACATGCTGTCTCTAAAGTCACAACTAACGCAATGCAGTTCACAAAATGTGCTATCTCCTGTTGGCAGATTCCTCCACCATTGCCACCAGTCTCTGTCTTCCTCTTTTGTTGATGTGGTCCACACAGTTGATGAGAGAGATCAGTTGTTTGGGAGAGTATTCCTGAAAAGATAACATTTCAGCAACATTAACCTTTTACTGTACAATACGACTGACAATGTTTTATTGCACAATATTCAATACAAATGTAGTTTGTGCAGAAAAGCACTTACTTAAAACATAGCAATTTTGGTCACTCCTATGAATCACATATGGTATGTTAAATTCTGAACCGTCTACAGACCACAAAAAGTCAACAGATATAAATCAGATTTTACGGCAGTATTTGTCTATATTTGTCTATATCTTGACCACTGCCCACTCACTGCCCACTCAGTGTCCACTCACTGCCGACTCAGTGTCCACTCACTGTCCACTAACTGACCACTCACTGCCAGCTCACTGCCCACTGTCCATTCACTCACTGTCCACCCACTCAGTGCCCACTCACTTCCCACTCACTGTCCTCTCACTGTCCACTCACTGACCACTGTCCACTCACTGTCCACTCACTGACCGCTGTCCATTCACTGTCCATTCACTGTCCACTCACTGACCACTGTCCACTCACTGACCACTGTCCACTCACTGTCCACTGTCCATTCACTCACTGTCCACCCACTCACTGTCCCCTCCCTTACCCTCCTGTCCCTGATCCAGAGCTCTAGCTGCGTCTCTGGCAGGTAATACGCCTTGATGTAAGCGTCCACAAACTCTCGCTCTGGTATTGGTCGGATGTTGGTCAACTTTTCCAGTTTCATCAGCAGCTGTTGGAAGTCCAGCTGCATTAAGGCACGGCCCTCGTTGGTGCACTTCTTGGCACTGGCGTAACTGGAAAAATTAACTCATTATTTTAGCTTTATTTTTTTCATTATTTATTTTTCATCTTATTTATTTTTCATTTTTTTTTTCAAGTTTTTTTTAGTAAACTGATCTGAAAACAAGTATTTAAGGTCAAATTTATATACATTGTATACATAGCCTGTACATAAAAATGGCCAACTGATTTGTTAACAAATTTTAGTGATTCATATAACAATATTATTCTGGTCAATTGTGTTAACTATCCTTCATGAAACCTAGCAGTTGCAAGCTGTCTAACATGACTAGACTGCGACATACTTACCCTTCTACTAGCGTCCTATTGGCAAGTCCTATCACATGCTCCCACATTACCTTGGAAACAGCTTCAGGAAGCGGGACACGGCGACTGACCCCATTTAGCCTGTTACTAAACACTTGAAGTTCCTGTAAGGAGAGACTATTCTTAAAACTAGCACACAAACATGTCAGGTATTTATGATTTAATATCACTGAAGACAGATCAAACAACTACCTGTAACTTATCCTGGATTGCTCAGTTATCTGATATCATTTCCAGATGCCCCTTGAATCTATAGCCAGTCTATAGCTAACCTTACCCTCATAATGACATCCACATAGTTATTATAATTGTATATTAATTCTAGTTTATAGTCAGACTTTATAGCCAGCCTCTATAGCCAAGACACTTAGACAAGACTATAGCCAGCTAACTTTACCCTCAGTATGACATCCACATAGTTATTATAATAGTATAATAATTCTAGTTTATAGCCAGACTTTATAGCCAGTCTCTATAGCCCAGACATTTAGACAAGACTCTATAGCCAGCTAACCTTACCCTCAGTATGACGTCCACATAGTTATTATGCTGTGACATGATGTCCTTGATGTCCCACTTAACACTGCTGACAGACTGCAGGAGTTGGTCAGTGTTCAGACACCTGCTGGTGACGCATTGANTATAGTATCTATCACAGTAAGAGAAATGCTACAAATTCATCCAAAAATTGTAGCTCTGTTCATAATAACATCTATCCCATGTTTCCTTTTAAAATATTTAAAATTGGTGAAATTTATACTTTTAAAGTTTAAGCAATTGAAATTCTTCAGAAATTTAATGTTAAAAGTGTTATGTTCATGCACCACAAAGAGAATTGATACGTTGATAGCAACCTGAATCTTGAGCCTCTTGTTCCTGTCTCTCGTGCCACTCGATGGTTTGATAATAACTCTTCATCACTTCCCACAATGCCTTGCACAGGTCCACCAGACATGGGTAGAACGTTTCTATACTGATGTGCTGGAACAGACAGACAGAAGGGCTCAAAACAAATATACTTAATCTTTTCCGTAACATTTATCTCTTTGGTCCTGTAAGTTTTTGATTATTATTATTTTATAAGGTGTTTAAAAAAATAGAGATGAAAAAACAGGTTTGAAAATATAGCACTGATTTCCCAAGATAGGGGAAAAAATAAAAGGGATTTTCTGTAACAAGCAGGGTAAGAACAGAGATGCTGCCCTTCTTATCTTCCTTTAGTTAGAATTTCTCGTTTTTATTTAGATCAATTATTTCAGGCAGTTTCAAAATAACAGAAACAAAATTCATATCTATGAAACAACACACAAACAGATCTAAATTCATGAAATGGGTGAAAAATAATGAAATAACCAATAATAAACAAACCAATCAAAATACAAACAGATTCAAATTGCAGCTTGCTGAATTCATCTTTCTTATCTCTTTTCCAAAAACGTATCATTCTAGAGGGGTATGTGTTAAAGCCCTTTGATATATAAGATATCTATCTCTGTACCAATGGCAGTATGATGTCCCAGGGTTTGAAGCAGTGGAATGCATTTTTGCAGATGGTTCATTAATTGTAGTCCTAATTTTCTGTTTTAAAAGCACCAATTATACAAACATATTTTTCTCCTCTTTCAACTTTTTTGACAACCAAACTAAATAAAAAACTTTCACACAATTATGCAAAAATGTTGATCAAACGTAAATATTTTTAATCACCTTAACAAAATTGCCACACAATGTTAATATTGCTGAGATTAGAATGTCTGAGGTGTGTCATCTTCTGGATGTGTTAGGTGAGACATCTCTCTGAATGTGTTAGGTGAGACATCTCACTGAGTGTGTTAGGTGAGACATCTCACTGAGTGTGTTAGCTGAGACATCTCACTGAGTGTATTAGCTGAGACATCTCACTGAGTGTGTTAGCTGAGACATCTCCCTGAGTGTGTTAGTTGAGACATCTCACTGAGTGTGTTAGTTGAGACATCTCCCTGAGTGTGTTAGTTGAGACATCTCACTGAGTGTGTTAGCTGAGACATCTCCCTGAGTGTGTTAGTTGAGACATCTCACTGAGTGTGTTAGGTGAGACAGCTCACTGAATGTGTTAGGTGAGACAAATTCCCCAAGCCACATCTCACACAACCACACAGGGCTGCATGGATATCAGCAGTTAGTTGAATGAAAATATTCCTACATACTCACCACATTGCTAAACAGGCGCTATCATAAAATCCAATACAAATATGTTAATCTACCTGTTACAGTGCCATTAAATTTACAGATTCAGAATTCAAAGAAAGAAGTTTATCAGCTAAGATAAAAGAAAGGTGACACAGAAACAGCAGTTGGATTATTCAAGAAATTTTTGTTACACAGGACTGTTAGAATTTAGAATTGACAGGTTTAGACTCTAAAATCATACATCAATTTTCTCATTGTAAACAAGACACAGGTTCTCATAGTGCCATGTTTAAGCGAAAGTCTAAACAATAAAAAACTCTACTCATCCAGAGACAAAAAGTCCCCAACTCGGCTCTATAACCTATGAAGGAGCCAGCATGCACTAATCTTTCACATATAATGCCAATATATTTACCTTACACAGGTCAGAGTACTGTCTCTTCTGGAAGTTGCTATCTGCCGTCCCCGAGGTCAGCTCTACGTAACCCAGTACAATGGTGAAGGCAGTGTTATGGATGGCACTAGTGAAATGCATGTGTAACTGGTCCATGGCAGTCTGGAGATAACAAGATATAGATATAACTGTGATAAAATATAACCCAGTACAATGGTGAAGGCAGTGTTATGGATGGCACTAGTGAAATGCATGTGTAACTGGTCCATGGCAGTCTAGAGAGAACAAGGTATAGATATAACTGTGATAATATATAACCCAGTACAATGGTGAAGGCAGTGTTATGGATGGCACTAGTGAAATGCATGTGTAACTGGTCCATGGCAGTCTAGAGATAACAAGGTATAGATATAACTGTGATAATATATAACCCAGTACAATGGTGAAGGCAGTGTTATGGATGGCACTAGTGAAATGCATGTG